AAGAAACATCCGGTCTTTAATAGGGGATATGATCTCCCCTGACTGCTAGGCAGGTTTCACAGCGTCTGCCCATGCTGACAATGAGGGTGTCAATGAGTTGTTGAGGCATTGCTGCCCATTCGTCTTGCAGCGCCAATCGAAGCTCCGGAATCGTTACTGGTGATAAGGTACGAGCTGCCAAGCGTCTGCCTAGAAATTCCCATACATGCTCGATGGGATTGAGATCCGGAGATCGTGCCGGCCAATCCAAACGTTCAATATCCTCACTCTCTAAGAGCTGTTCGGCAGCTACTGTGCGATGACATGGTGCATTGTCGTCCATGAAAAGGAACTGCGGACCCATAGCGCCTCTAAAAAGACGCACATATGGAAGAAGAATCTCGTTACAATAACGGGTCCCGTTGACTGAACCTGCGGCGGAGATGTGAAAGTCTGTACGACTACCAAGCATGATGCCTCCCCAAACGAGAACACCGCCACCTCCATACCTGCCCCTTTCAATGATGTTCGAGGGATGATTGCGGCTTCCCCGCTCTCTCCAGATGAGTATGCGATGAGAATCGCTACTCAGACTGAATCTGCTCTCATCTGTAAAGAGTACTCTTCCCCATTCATTGTCTCTCCAATTCCGGTGTTCCCGGCACCACAGAGAACGCCTTCTCCGGTAGGCAGGCGTTAGAGGTATACACCGTACAGGGCGTCGTGCAAACAGACCACCACCGTGCAGTCTTCTTGCCACCGTAAAACGCGATATCGGTCGTCCAGTCGCCTGTGTCGTGTGTCTAGCGATTTCTCCCGCTGTCTGCCGCCTGTTTCTTCTGGCCTGTAAGGCAATATACCGGTCATCTGCGGGTGTGGTTCCTCGTGGACGACAACTACTAAACCCCCGGATAGCAGTTCCTGTAGTTTGAAATTGTCTCCAAAGTCGTGAAACGATGCTGTGAGCAATTTCGAACTCTGCAGCCACACTTGTCACACCGTGGCCTTCCTCCAACTTTCCAATGATTCGACCTCGGGTAAAAGCATCCAGATGTCGTCTAATAGATTGATTATTCGCCATTTCTCGCTGAGGCAGCAACTCGGTGTGATTTTAACTGCTATACGGCGTGCAATCTCTTTGCCAGAAATACTAATCTTACACCGACAACATGCTTTATACTACTCAGACACTCCCCCATTACGTCTACCTGCATATCTGCGCATGTGCTACCGTACATCACCTTACTTAATCTCCTGATTGGTCTTTCTGTCCGCTCTGCCTCTTCGTTCAGCTGATATGCTAATTTTTCGACTTCGTCCTTAATTTTTGCACACCAGTGTATTTGTCCCTTGTAAGACGACTCTCTCTGAGTTGGGCGGCGCGTAATTCACTGAAAGTTCTTCTTTTGAAGACGATTGGACGGAGATTTAGCATCTCAGTTCAGATCGTGCTGCAGCCTTTCCAGAATATATCTTTCAAAAAGCTATGTAAGATGGCAGTCCTCGTGGAGGAAGCAGCGAACACGCTGCTATTGCTGTATGCTCGGAAAACTGGTTTATGTCCACGTTACCTATGGGGAAAACCATGAAAATTCCCGTAATGCCATTCCGTTCAAGGGAGCTCGAACTCCAGACCGAACTACCAGTATTCAGCGACTTACGACTCAGGCATTACTGGGTCCGAACACCCTGAGAGCAACTGTCTCCTAAACACGTTACACATGTGGGTAAACTGCGAAAACCAACTATGCAGACAGCGCGTTCCCTTGAGTTCGAACCCAGTTCGATGTACTAGTATTCAGCGATCTTAACCACTCGGACGTTGGTTGCTCAAGTACTTGGGAACCAAAACACCAAAAGATTGGTGAGGATTGAAGCAACTCCCCTGAGGATTAGGTCTTGAGGAAATGTAGGAGAAAGTATCTTTCATGTATCGTTGAAATGTTCTTATAAATTCCTTCATGTTTGTTGTTTGCATCGCCGAGTTTAGGTGGGAAGTGAAGATATAGGAATTGCAATAAAATTTATTCATCAGCTAATACCTCATAATATGAGGCTTAGAATAATATTTCGTTTGTAAACACTCACTAAAAACGATTATGTAGACATCTATTAGGGGTGGGAGTTGTCTCAGCCAGATGTAGTGTTATTGGAGAGAGGCTGAGAAGTTGCTAAACATTCGTTGTTAGACTCAGTTTGAAATCCCCGCTAGCAGGCTGGCTCCAAGGACATTTTTGTTGTTTTTTTTTTTTTTTTTCCAAATGTAACGTAGACACGAGACAGTTTTCCTCGAATGATTTTCCACAAAGGCATCTTTCCTTTTAAAGAGCAATCTGAAATATTTTGCCATAATCTCCCTAATCCAGTCCACTCCACCATTGGCAGTCCGCCAGCGGTAAAATCGCTGAATACTGTTAGTTCCGATCTACGTTCAAGTCCAGGTGAACGGGTTGGCTGCTTGGGCGTTTATGTGTTTTTTCCCTATGTGTTTGTGTATACGAGCCGGTTTCCTATAAAAGTTCTCCACAAAAGGTATACTTCGCGTTAGGGAAATAACCCAATGTGGTTTGCCATAATAAATAAAACCAAACCACCAATAGCAAATGGATAGCATCCAGTTTGATTTTTTACTTCCTTGTAAAAAAAAGTAGTAAAAAGGAAGTATTGTAATCGCGGAAAGTTTCAGGCAGCATATTTCAACGAAAATATTCATTTTGACCGCTATCGAATGCAATTGAACGATGTTTTTGCGGTGATATCTGTAACGTAAGAACAAGAATAAAGGACTCTTTTTCCTTCAAACGAATTATAAAACTGATTTAAAATGTTAATTCTAAAAGACAATGTTTTCGTGGCGTCTGTACATATGTATGTACGTACGTACGTATCTCGCATAACTCAAAAACGAGTAGTCTCAGAACGTTGAAATTTTGTATATGGGACTGGCTATAACATGTAGATGTGCACCTCGTATTTTGGTTGCAATCGGCCGCACCAAACGTATATAAATATATTTATATATATATCCACTCTGTTACCCGGCTCAGTCATTTCAGTTTCTTTACTCTTATATGTTTGTAAATTGTACATTTTTTGCTTTAAAAATGATTGAATTATGTTGTTTTTATCTTCCGGCTAAGGTTTTTATGCCTTTAGTTAATCTGTATGGAATATTTTTAGAATTATCAGCAATTTTAAAGTTGTTTATGTGCCGCTAAGCCTTTTTTTTTATGGCGGCCATTGATTGTTTACATTTGAAACAGCAGAGTAGTGGATTTGTTGCCAATCTAGAAAACTTAGCTTCGCAACAACAAAGATAAACGCCTTCATTTATTATTGCCAATTAAATCATGCTTAATCCTTTTTGGAATTTTTTCGAGGAAATAAGTGTTTAAGATTTACTTCGTAATTTTTAATAGAGATATTTTGAGTTTTTATGTATTTTTGCCTTCTCGCGAAGTGAGAACTGAATTAATTGAAGGAGAAATACTCAATCGTGTGTGAAAAACTGTTTCTTTTTTGTTTTGTTTGCTTAATTTCTTTTATACATCGTTCTAGCCTTTTTATAGTAGTTGAATAGAACATGTGGCAAGGATTAGATAATTCTTTTCTTTAAATGATATACATTTTGTGCATTATGAGTTATAATATGAACGAAATATAATACTGTTAAGTGAATCTAGCGCCAGAGTGTCGCTATGGTAAACAAATCCTAGGGTGAATTTTAAAGAATGCATTTATTCTATTGTGATTTATGCGCTGTCGGCGAAGTAGATTTAATTCAATCCAATAAGTTTAAATGAAATGCAAGAAAAAATGCGTATAATTTAATATTCCGTACAAAGAAGTCACGTGGTGTACACATCAGATTTTTTTATTATGGCAAAGCACCCAAGAGTTATTTACGTATGCTGAGGGATGCCTTCGTGGAGCAATTTTTAAGGTATACTGGTTTCCATCTACTTTCCCTCTAGGGAAAAATCATGAAAACGTTTCAGCTAGCTTGTTCACCGATATTTGAATACAGGTCGAACTACCAGTGTAGCGACGACTTTGTTGCTCGGCCGCTGGTGAATCCTGGTAACATCACGAATACTGGTAGGTTAGACCCGCGTTTGAACCTCAGCGAACAGGCTTTAGTCCTGGAAGCTCTCATGATCTTTCTCATATGGAATGTATATGCGTAAAAAATCTTCGGCGAAGGCATTTCTTTCCTCAGCCATAATCTGTTTGGCACCACAAATGGCCGAGTAAGACCACTGAGTAGTCCTAACTATAACTTCCCATATCGAAATAAGAATATTTCGATATGGGTTTGTAATAATGGCGAACGGGTTGGCTGCGTGGTTGGTTTTTGTCACATTACATGGTTTTCCCCATGTGTAATGTGAAGTCAATTCTCCTTAGAAAGTCCTCTACGAAGGCACCCTTCTCCTTAGGCAAATAGCCCTTGCGTGTTTTGCCATATATGAATAACTTAACTATGATGTGTTTTGCCGTAATTGCTTGAGCAGACAACAAGCAGATAGATACTCATCACGAAATTCATCTTCAAAAGGAACGCGTAATTTTAACTAAAAAGAAGTGTTATTTCGAAAAGAAGCAATCAATAATACAAGAAACATGTTCTTTAGTTCGTTCGAATATTTACCCATAAGATGCGGATTTGTATGAGGTAACATTTCTCCCTTTTGTTACTGCTGAGAATATAATTTCATTCTTGCAGTAACTTCGAATTTTCTGTGGATATTAATAATTTCATTTATGAAATTTATCCATTTGTTTTAAATGTAAAAAGTGTGGCCGAAAATGTTTGTGTTGCATGGCCCAGTGTCAGCAATACAGCTTCCGAATGTTTTCAGTTAAAATAAAATAATAAATAAATAAGCGTGGGCGGTACGACGTGAAAGAAAAAAAATTGTGAAGGCGAAACGGTTGTGAAGACTGGCTCGTTTTGGCGGGGTTCTACCCCTAAATTTGGCACTGCGAAACGGCGACCAAGTCTGCAACCGCCTCTGTTGCTTCATTCTCCAAAAACCGAAGAATTTGGTGACAGCAATTCTGTGTCCCTCGTAAACACACTTCGCTAAATTCAGTCAAGTTGTGAAACTCGTATTTCCGGAAAAAATGAATACTACTTTTTTATTTTTTGCTGCCAAAGAATAAGTATTACATTTCGTTCTTGTGGAGTGGATTAAATTTCTCAAAAACAGACGAATTATTTTGCACTTTTTTCATTTTTGTATGAAATTTTGTGACGTCTAGTTTACTTTCATCAGTTCTGAAAATGAAATAGGATGATAAATTGGCCTGTAGTTTATTGTAGAAAATTTCCTTCTCAGGTATTTAGTGCTTGGTGAAACATGGATTGCTTCTGTTTTTAAAAATGTTTCAGTATTGCCACTCCAGCTGAGTTTCAAATCCAAATGAGATCTTTATTCGTGCTCTGATTCAGAAACAAAGAAAAATCGTCTGCGGCGTTTAAAAATACTTTTATATTCCATCTGCTAACACGCGACGCGATGACCACGACTAGAATAAAGCTTGGTAATAATAAAAAAGAAAGACTTCTTTCTACTCGCAGATGAAAGAGAAATTGTTCTTTCACGACAAGCACGGTTATTGTCCGTTTTATTAAAAACCTTCTCTTGAAGCGACGTACTTGAGGTCTTTAATTTGCGCTCTTGAAAGTGTGGGCAATATGGCGGAAAACTTATTGCAGATCGCCTTACAACAGAAAACATACGAGCTTCGACAGCGCGATGCTCTTATCGAGGAGCTCGAAATGGAATTGGAGTCAAAAAATAAACTTATTGTGAAACTTCAGTCCGAACTAGAGAAGTTCAAGTCGGCCATGAAGCCGCTGGTGAAACAAATGTCTCGTCAGATGTATCTCTGGAGTTCTGGTGATGAAGATTCACCATATTCTGAAAGCAGTAGTAGTAGCAGTAGTAGTGAATCTGAAAAGGAAGATGAATTTTGTAATGGTGACAAGAGATCGTTGTCAACTGAGCAAACGAGGACCAAGAGGCTTGCAATTTCGGCGGAACCCACTTGTGCGGAAAGGATACGTAATCTTAGCCTCAAGAAAGTTCCAAAGACTCAAAAGTAAGTTTCAGATTTTGTAAAGGGAAATTATTATTATTATTTTTGTAATTTTCATTGCTGCCTTTAACCAGGTGCTGAAGACATACTTGTTTGATACCTGACTGATAGAATAGCCGAACGATGTAATTTTCGAATTATTTTCAATGATTTTAGAAATTCGCAGTTTTTGTTAATTTTAGGATTTAATTAAAATTAATGTAAATGAACGGCATTTTATAATTTTATAATTTCTGGAAATCTTTTGTGCTAAGTTCTATAATGACTAAGAACGCGTTAATGAATTTAATTATTCATAAACATATTATAAACGCGTTGTATTATAACATATTATAAACATATTATAAACGTTGTATATTCATAAATATACAACGTTATTTTTTTGTTTCCTTTGAAATTGTAGCATTTTTTAAAGTTATTGAAATTGGTATCGAATATTAACCTTAGAATTATGAAGGAAGTAAAAATGATATGTTATATATATTTTTATAATTTTAAATCGTTTCAAAAAGGCTCTAGCCCCCCCCCTTAATTGAAATATATGGATGTTTAATTTTCTAATTAACTAAATCTGGAAAAAATTATTGTTTTCAAATTTCAACCTAGATTTCATGTCCTGGCAAAATATAAGTTTTTGCAATTCCACTTGCGAAAAATACTTGTTACAATCCTTGTGCGCAAGCGATCCAAATAAAGAGATGCTCAGCTACGCTTCGAATAGTTAATAATTTCTTTATTAAATAAATGTAAAGCGGTTCCACAAAGCACTAATTTATTATGAAATAATTTCATAATAAATTTCAGTGTATCAAATGGCAGAAATAAAACTAATAAGTATTATTTCTGCCATTTGACTTTTTAAACATCGCCTTAAACATATCATTTACATTCTTTATCTTGTATTAATAGAGTATAATTTTTAAACTGTACGGTTTTTCGTATTTGTTACACTAAATTGGAGTTAAATTCCACTAGATCAGAGATTACATCTCTTCTCTACTATTGAATTATTAAGAATCTGTATGTATGTATATTCGTATGATCCTCGCATTGCAAAATGACACTTCATATTTTGAGTCCACGACCCAAGCATTTGCAACTCGAAGCTAGAAATTTGTATTTCGAATTTGGTTTTGATTTATTGCATTTTATAAGAGTTTAATCAATTTCTAATTAACAGCTTCAACGTTATGAAAGCGAGCAGTGTTGCCACTGCTCGAAACAAAACCTTTTTTTTATTTCCTGCGCGCCAGATTATTGCCAGTCTGCTAAATGAAATATATTTATCTTTCAATTTTAACTAATAAAGGAAACTATTTAAATGTGTTGCCAATGCCTGAAATAAAATATTTTTGTCATCTACGCTGCATGTAGTCATTCAATAAATATAATCAATCTGTTATTGATTAACAAACCAAGTGATTTAAAATCGATAAACTCAGTTCTTAAAAATTTTTGTTTATCTGATCGATTTAAATAAAAATGCATTAAAATTTTTAAAGGTGTCTAATTAAAAATATTAAATATTTTTATAGAATTACACCAACTATACTAATTTAAATCATTCTATATTTTTTTCGTTTTACGAAAACTGTTTTAGACCACAGTTTTTTTTAATTTATTATTTTTATATTTTTTAATTTTAGAACTATTAGTCTATAGACTGAAGTTTCTAGATTTCAATTTTTTTTTTTTTTTTTTTATTCTTCTCTCTCATTTTTCTTAACATTTCTGTGCAGCACTTTTTATGTATTATGAGGACATTTTGACTGTATGTAGGCTAATTTTGATTTGAAAACTTTTACATAAAATTTCAGAAAACATTGAAAGCACAATTTTAAAAGTGAAGCGCCGTTTATAGTGAACCAACGCAACATGCCAAAACGAAATTAATAGCCCTTCTGGGCAAATTTTCCCTGTGGGCTTAAAAAAAAAAAAAAAAAAAAAAAAACAATATTTTGTTGAAAAAATTTTCAGCCCATCGGCTGCTTTTCGGAAATGTATGGCAGTTCCTTTGTCTACATTTTTAATTTAGTATATTTTCCATTGCAGTCATAATTATAACTAGTATAATAATCCAAATTATGATCGAACTTCAAATCAGATTTGTCAATGTGTAGTCTTGAATTTGCGTCGCTATGTGGCGCGTAAACCTCCCAGATTTCCGTACCTCAAAGCTGGCAACTATGCGAGGGAGAGGAAGCTTTTCGGGATAGACGCTTTAGCTAAAAAATGATACAAGAACGTCGTAATTCATATTTTCCGCTTCTTTGGGAATACTTCGCCACTGGTATTCACCGAGAATATTTTAGTGTGGGTACTACCCCACGTTTCTTCATTAGCTCTCTTAGACAGACACATAATGATCTATATTGCGGGAAGAAAATACGGATCTAGTCAAGGAATAAAAAAAGGGGAGGTATGACAGTGGGAACATGTCCAAAAATACAAAAGTCAATGAGTCTAGTTCCCAGGTCAATGCTCCTGATAATAAAGATACATAGATAAACCATTAAATCAGGTGATGTCTGACATTATCTCTTGATTGATGAGCTGTAAGGCAATTTCTATCTCTTTGGCAAGATTTTCGACATTGTATAAAACTTTATAGGCTTTTCTGAAATTTCTGCTACGTATGCAATACAGCAACAAATTTAAGCACTTCCTGCGTTCGAGAATAAATATAGTGAAATGTCTAACACCAACATCCAGCAGTGACGTTGCCAGAGCTTTTGTTAGCCTCGCCGCCTCTCTAAGCGCACACCAAAAAATCTATAAATGTCAAAACGATATATACGGAATTAAATAACAGCTGTTTGTTCATTTGGTGAATTCAAATTCTAGCATTCCAAAGGGCTGTTTTACTTGGTTTTCTGTTAGCAAAATTGTTGCTGACATTTTCAGGAGCTTGTTTCCCCATTCCAGTTACTATTTTGAAAAGAGTATAGTTAGATTTCTTAAATGCAAGATGTTTAGGTTTTAGGTGTTTCTTAACCGACTTATGCTTAGGAAAACGCTTCTCAGAACGAGTAAAACTTAAGTAATTATGATAAAATTTTCAATTGTATGTCGCTTGGAACTACGTTCTGGCGTCTGTACTTTCCAATAAATTGAAAAAATTCAAAGCGAACATTGTTCCATCTCTCGGTTTCGTCTTCTGACGCAGTAACAGAAATAATTCTGATAAAAAATAATCTAATAAAAATTCTGATGTGTTTCTCTGTCGATGATGAACTGTTCCGTATCTATATTGCAAAGCATTTTCTCCCTCTTTACTGCTCGCCTTCGTGATTTGATTGGTAATCGAAAGGTCCGGATTTCGAACCCGGTGAGGGTATTGCACATTTTTCATGTTTCATGCTTCGAAAAATCTAATGTCTCTACAACTGGCGCTCGAACTAAAATGTGGTGAACAGTAATTCGTCACCACCAGGATTTGGCGATTGAGTCCCCGCCTCCCAGTCGCCCATCAAGTGGAGGAGGATTTAAGTATTTTCCATCCTTAGCGCGACTTTCGTGGGTGATTAGAAGCATATCCGGCTGCCGATTAGAAGATCAGAATCCCGGACAGAACATTGCACATTTTTCATATCTCTTGCTTTGGAAAATGTCTGTACAGTGTGACTGTGATCATAATTTAATTGGCATTTGTATTTTCCATTTAAAAATTCCATTAGAGTAAGAAGGCGTAGCAAATACAATGAACTGCCACAATCTCTTACTAATTTCTTTGAATACCGAGTCTAGTGTCGCCCAGACGGTATTGTGGTTAGGAGAGCCTACTACGGTACCGAAGGTCCCGGGTTCTAATCCCGGAGAAGACATGGATGTTTGTAAATATATAGTGTCGGTGTGGCATGACGGCACTCTAAATATACGGCGAGCCAAAAGTCCTCTTGTGTGGATTGGTGGAAGGGGCATGGAGGTAGGAAAGGAAGGAGGGGCAGTCGGCACTAGAAGTGAAGCACTTCTTTGAAGCTTGGGTCACCAGATGGGGTGTTCTTTGTTTACATTCAGAAGCTCGCTCTACACGGTTCTGATAGTATTTCGACACACGACAGTTCCAAACAAATCGAAAAAGGGACACTTTTGCATGAAAGAAACATTCATAGTGTGATGGATAATAGCAATTTGTATAGTTTAGTCACATTTACGCAAAAATCACATCTTGGTTATTTTTCGATAACTAACAACAGCGCGATTTTGATTATGAATTTGTTTTATAAAATTCTAAGCAGTTGAACTACAAAATATAGATTTTAAGAAAAAGTTAGCTTAAAGAATGAAAAATACCTTACAGTACATTTAAAATTGTATACGTCTTTCGATACCCTTGATAGAGTATTCGCTACTTTATTTTATTTTCCAACGCCAAATGTTTTAAATAAAACCAAATTTTTTTCACATCCATATATTATTGTTGCATATTATTGCAAAAAGCATGCCTTTGGCAAAATACATAATATATCATTAAATTATTATAAATGTATTTGAAATGAAGAATTTATTCACTTATAAACAACTGTGAAAGTACTGTGAAGAAATCTAATGATTAAAGGTATCTAATTTATACTCATTATAAATATTATCTAAATATATAATAACATTAATATTGAATTGTAAACTAAATTGAAATCCTGTCGACAATACGTTATAAAACTATTTAAGCAAGAATTGTTCGATTGGAAAGCAATCTGGTAAAAGGTGGGGGGGTAAAAGGTATTGTTAAAGCAAATGCTATGAGAGGCGCACTTAAGAAAGTAATAAAAGAGTTTGGAAGTTTATTGTTGAAATGAAGGGTAAAAAAAAATCTGATAAGTATAATTAAAAGAATTATTCCCCTTACAATTTATAATAACTCAGTTACAAGTTTTAAATAATACTTAAAAAAAAAAATAAAAAAAAAAATAAAACCTTATTTTATTCTCTTTCACAAATGTTCAGAGAAAGTCAAGTACTATTTAAAGTATTTCGCTAATTCCTAATAATTCCTCTAATTTAAA